CCACACCAACAGTTTGAAGTAATGCAAAACTAAGAATAAAAAGTATTAAAATAGAACCAAAAATAAAAATATATACAGTAGAAAGGTTGAGGAAAGAAGAAAAACGGATGTGACTGGATACATCCTTGTTAAGGGCACCATCTAGTCATGAATATAAAGTAACATCTCCTTCCTGGAGACATTCCTGGCCCCCGCTCAGAAGTTGTTTTCCCTTACCGGCTTCTGGGATGTTCTTCTGACTTCCCAGTTCAGCTTCCAACTCTGGGATTACCTGGTGGTCTCCCATCCAGGCCTGATAAGGTTGGCCAGATGCTGTAAAGCACCTCCTAAGATACTGCGTCTAATCAGCTGACTTCCCCACACGGGGCCCATGGCTGCAGCCTAAAGGTTTATTTTCTGAGTGCTGTGAGTCTCGTGGCAATTTCAGGAAAGATCAAATTCACACTCATTTTGGCTTCTTTTGTTCCTCAACACTTTTGTGCCTTTTTTACCCTGCAAAGTGCTTTCCCGTCCCAGGGGCACCCAGCGCTGCTCCTGAAGGCTGGTGTCTTTAGGGCCTTCCTTGGGAAGAAACCCCAGAGCTGTGGCAGAAGCGTTTGGAAATCCGGATTGCTTCCTGAGGTTAGGAAGAATTTGCATCCAGCGCCCATTCTCTGGAGCGGAGCCACGAGGCGAAGAAAAACCAAAGCATTTAGGTCCCCCGTAAGGCAGGAAGTTTTGGGGAGGGCGGGAGATCAGAGATCAGTACCCCAGTGACTTAAGGAGGCGGTGGACCACACTGCCCTCATCCGCGGCCAACGTGAGCCGGGATGGGAATGATGGGGAGAGGAGTCCCTCCACCTCCGGAGCAGCTCTGTCTTCCCGATCAATGCAGCCTTTTCTCGAGCCCCTCACCTTCCTGCTGCGGGCGGGAAAGTCCTTCCATCGCGGGCATTTTTCTGGATCTCGATGCCCCGTCCCGGCTGGGCCAGGATTCTCTCTCCCCGAAAGAGTGCCGCACCCACCACCTCCTCCTCCATGGCGGCTGCCGGAGGGCACCCACGCTCTCTTTTTCAAGCTGTGGCCATGAGGCGGAGGGGTGATGGGATTTTCTTCCTTTTTTCATTTTAACGGAAGAAATGAGTGGGCGTCCAATAAACTGGCTTGTTGAATCAGATTTTGTTGAAGATAGCAAGCTGGCTGGTGTTACGCATCATACTGAGTCATAAATCCTGACTTACAAACTACAATGACTGATTCACACAAGACGCCATCTCAGAGTTTCCAGATTAGGGCTTGTGGAATAAGGCCCAATTTTCCGGGCTTCCCCATGGCTCATGGGGGGTGGGGTTTGCTTTCCCAAAGTAGGCGGGGCCAACACCAATTTGGGAAGGGGCTCAAGAGTTCTAAGGGGACATTTACTGTGCTTCAGGCTTGTCTTTCACCCCTAATTAAAACCCCATCAACTTCCTCACCCACAAAAAGACCCCAGGTTTGTTTGTTCTACAATCCAAAGCGACAGTTTAGATGATATAAAGAACTTCCAGACACCCATAGTGTATTAAAATAATGAAAGCAATTAAAGACAAATCAAAATGCAGCCACCAAACTCCAGATAAACCACAATAAAACAATAATAAAAGGCTGACTAGGATGTGCTCTGGAACAGCTCAGTTTTCACCCTCTGCCTGAAGGCCTTCACAGAGGGGCCAGTCTGGTCTCCCCTGGGAGGCGGTTAGAGTACAGGCATTGCTACCGCCAAAGGGGGTCTCCTGCCCTCAGACCCCTTTGCTTCCAAAAGGGGGGAATAAGTGTGTCTCCCCAGATGACATAATTGGTGGGGAATAGGTTCATTTCCGCCGCTGGCGGGCACAGTGATCCTTGGACTACAGTTTTGCTCCTTGGACTACAGTTTTATTTATGGCTGCTTTGTCTGAATACCAAGCTTCCAGGAATTCCCTTGTGTTTTTGCATCTTAGGGAATGCAAGGGAATTCCTGGAAGCTTGGTATTCAGACAAGGCAGCCATCAACAGGCACATAGAGAGCTTCCAGGAATTCCTTTGTGTTTTTGCATCTTAGGGAATGCAAGGGAATTCCTGGAAGCTTGGTATTCAGACAAGGCAGCCATCAACAGGCACATAGAGATAAACAACATCTATACACTATTCAAGAGAGACAATAAAAAGGAGACAAAAGATCAGAACATCTCCTTGCCAGTAATCAGCAGCCAGATAAGCAGAGATTAACACCAAGATTAACACCAGGCACACAATCAAGCAGTAAACAATACCCTAACAGGAGAAACAACACACCCCCCCCAACATTGGCGGGGCAAGCCACTGTATATAGACAGAGAGCAACCCCCCCCCCCCTTCTAGCACTGAAGATGTTACCTAGCCGGGTAATGAAACGTCTGCCAGAAAACCACCAAGCTCAGAGAACCCCAAGGTCTCCACACAAAATGGGTTTCCGCTCCCACTCTGGATGGACACAGATAAGCCGCCAACACTGGGGGAACTCCTGATCCAGCTGCTTGGCTCCCCTTCGCTGGAGACTGTCCTAGTGCTGGCCAAAGCATGTCATGGCCAAAGCCCCCAAGTGCCTGCAGCAGAAAGTTCCTCCTGAATTCTCCCAGTTCTGGATAGGTTTGGGAGGAAGCAAAGTTGCCCTTTCCTGCCACCCCAAATCTGACGGCTGGCTCAAGCAATCTTGCCGGCCCTCTGACAGTGAAAGGAGAAAGTGTTTTCAAGCCCTTGTAGGAGATGACACCAGGGTCATTTTAAAAAAAGTGCCAAGCAAAGAGGAAAAGAGGCCCCATCTTGGGCTTCTGAATAGCATGGCAGTTTCTTAGGATGTATAAAGGGACTTCAAATTTAAGTTGGAAATGTGGAAAATGTGAAGGGTCATGTTATCACACATGGTGGACTTGTAAAAAAGCTAGCAAATTCTGGGTCCAAATACTAGTGATACAAGCAATTTTAAAAATTAACATTCAGCTGAAACCAGAATTTTTTTTTTGCTGGGACTTACAGGCAATTAGAAGACTGATGGAAGATTGGTTTTATATATGACTAGACAACCTGTGAGCCATTGGGTTATAATTTCAGAGATATTTCCTTATCTAAACAGAGAAGCAGAATGACCAAGGGCAAAAAAGCAGTGGGAGTGTGAATGACTTACAATTTGCTGCCAGCTTCCTCATTGACTTTGCTTGTGGGAAGCTGGCAGGGAGTATCAGATTGATTCCTTCCTTCTTTCTTTCCTTCCTTCCTTCCTCCCTCCCTCCCTCCCCCCCCCAGAAGAGCCCCGGTGAAACCTCCTCCTCAGCTGAGCCACAGAACTGCCTACCACTTTGCTGGAGGGAGGTGGAACAAAGGGAGCCATGGACTGTGAGGAAAACTGTGCCTCCACTCCCCATTCTGGCATGTCCCCAAGGGCCTCCTCCCTCAAGGGAGGAAGAGGGCTCACCCATATACTGCCAGCACCCCACAGCCAGCTCTATCTCGCCAGCAAGCATCCACGTTGCTCCCTCATCCTTCCCTCAATGCCCACCACCGTTAAGAGATTTCAAATTTCTTCCTCATTTCCAAAGCAGCCAATCGCAGAGGGAGGTGGGAAAGAGGCTGGGGACGTGTCCATGACAAGGACGTGACCTGGGCTGACCACAGCAGTGCTGAAGCAGCCACAAGTTTCCTAAATTTCAGTCCCACAGAAGTAAAGGGTCCTGGATTTTGGACGCATTCTGCAAGTTAGCCCATTTGAGGTTCCTTGGTTGAAAAATTGTTGCCCTATGACACACCATTTCACCCAGTTGAAGGTTACGGACACAAGAGTTTTATATAGATAGTATACTGTCAGGCCTAGCCCAAGATCAAGTGACAGTCCAGTCAACTTCAGTTCTTTTATTGCTTACACCATATAGGCAGAATCTTGTCAGACTAAATATATACTACTGCAACCAGTGGATATACTCTGGGAGATTCTAGAGAATGGCTATCCTAAATCTCTTAGACTTCCCACACTCCTGCTCTGCACTGTGTTGTCTCTTATCTTGCTGCCCTTCCTGGAATCCACCCCTTCCTTTCTGAGAACCTGGGTCTCTACCACATTCCATCACATCACCCCCCCCCGCTTCATAGATACATTCCATCACAATATAGATAACTGCAGCGAGATTATTATATGCACAAAGATGGAAAGACTCTGAAATAATGGAGAATAGATGGCGAAGATGACAATTAGCAGAGATGGCAAAACTGATTTGATTAGGGAAAAGACAAGAACTACATTTGTTAGTAACTGGAAACTCTTTATGGACTTTTTACTGAAAATAGAAAAAAAATGAACTTCTGACTTATGGGTCTGATGATTAGAAAGGGTAGAATATGGAAAGAAGGGAATCATGATATAACCTTAAAGAGGGAGGACAGATTATACATTTATTTGTAACTGCTGTAAAGAAGATTGAAAGCCACTTCTTTATACTTTCTTTTCTTCATCTATACACTTCTCTTTACTCTTTTCTCTTTTTCTTAAATTTGTATCAGTTTTACTACTGAATAAAAATTTTCAATAAAAATTAATAATAAAAAATGAATTGTGTGGCAGTTTCCTAGGCGCTTCCTTAGTAAATCTGCGGTTGAAATTCCTGGGAGTTCAG